GGAGAAGGAGCTGGAGCCCCCCGGCTCAGCCCGGCGCTGGGTGGGTGCTGATGGGCGCTCCCCGACACGGGCGGAGTGGAGGGATTGGGACGCGCTGGCTCCTTCCCACCGATCTGTGGGTCCCGTGAGCCTCAGCAGGTCCCCGTGGGGATGGGGACGGAGCCGRGTGCTCTGTGGGTTCTTTATTCCCCTCGCCCGGAGCCGCGGTGTCCGCACTGGGAAAGGAAAAGGCTCAGGAACATCAAACGGTTCCCACGAGCCCCAGCCCGGTCACATGAAGCGCCCAGAGCGTCTGGGGTTTAAAGAGGCTTTGTCGGGCTGGGAGCCGCGGTGGGGGCAGCCGGTGCCACAGAACCCCCCTGTCAGCCACAGAGCTGCCCCGGAGTGGGGTCAGTCCCATCTCCTGGCAGGTCCATCCGATGTGTCCTTCCCTGTCATCCCGTGCGAGCTCGGGGACAAACATGGCATGAGCAGAGCAATGACATCCCAAACGCTCCGCAGCCCAAGCCCCGGCTGGGTTCGGTGCCTCCTGCCCCGACGGGGAGGAAGGAGGGGAGGAAGGAGGGATGAAGGTGTTTTCAGGGTGGACAAACATCCTTTTGGATTGCTGGAGGTGGGATGTAGGGGAGAAACGCCTAGAGCAGATGTTCCATGGCATTGTGAGGGTTTGGAGAAATGGAATATGTGAGCGATAAATAAGTTGTTTTAATTTCTCCTCTGCCTGACAGGCCCCTTGACAGCCTCTCCTGCTCCTGGCTGCTCCAAAGGCTTCAAGAGCTCCATGGAGGAGCAGTCAGAGGGGCAGGACCAAGAGCTGTAACCGGGACACTTGAGCTGCAGCTCCAGGGGAAGCCTGGGATTAAAGGAACAAACCCTTCCCGTCGYGCAGGAAAGGCAGGAGCTGACTCAGGCGTCTGGGAATGGGCAGGACAGAAACAGGAGTTTGGGCACACAACTCAGCTCAGCCTTTGCCATCAGCACAACTTCTGCTTTGTGCTGCTCTGGGCTTCACTCCTACCAAGGTCTGATCTCAAACTGAGTGAAATGTTCATCAGTGAGAGCACAGAGGGAATTTTGATCCGTTTGGGATCTTGTTCCCCACTTTACCAAGAGGTACATCCCAAAGAGGCCTTTTCCTTCTCTGGTTTAGGTTTCAACAGCACAGAAAACCATGAGTGCCCCCAGAGTTTGGCTCCAGGGCACAACAGGGTTTTCTCCTGTCTCATCTTTCCTTGTCCCCACCCAGGGATCACCACGGGCCTGCTGCAAACCTGCTGCCCTGACTTGCTTCGGGGAGTTTGAGTCCCTTCCCCAAGTGCCAGCCATGGTGGGAGCCAGGGAAGTTCTGGGTTCACAGAGGGATCCAGATACGGTGTTTTTAGGGGTCTGTCTCACTGGGATTTTGCCCTGCTGCAGCTGAAGTTCAAGCCCAGCTCCCCCAGCCCTGGGATTGCCTGTGTGTGATGGAGACCAGCAGGATTTTCCTGTGGAAACAGTTCCATTCCCCTGCAAGGCAGGGTCCCCTCAGCCCCAGCTGTCCCTCGCTGCAAGGACCTGCCTGTGGGGATCCCAGAGCAAGGAATCTCAGCTTAAAATGCAGRACAGAGGGGTTGTGGGGACTCAGGGAGGGCTGGGCCAGTCCTTTCAGGAACAGTGGGAAAGGGAAGGTTTAGAWGTGGAGGGGGCTTAGTGATGGATTTCAGAGTCATCTTCCCCTCCCCTTCCCCCACTTTGTTCCAGAAACAAATTAAAAGCTCTCCCTCCAGGAAATTAAAAATAATTTAAGAAGGCTGAGCACAGGACTTGATGCACGGGGATTTTGGAGTTGGGAATCCTGGGCTTGGAAGGGAGAAGGGTGCTGGGGTGACCCTTGGAAGGGAGAAGGGAGAAGGGTGCTGGGGCTTGGAAGGGAGAAGGTTCCAAAGGCACAGGCACCGAATTCCTCCACTATTCCCTGTAGAATGGGGGATTCTGTGCTCTTCCTGGGAGCCCCATTGCACCRGGGAGACTTCCACGGCCTCTGTGACCTTGCACCAGCAGAGACCTGGCACTGTCACTMCAGAGATGGCAGCCTGGCAGTGGCCACGGTGGAAATCATCCCTCAATCCCAGCTCCCTGCGCTCATCCCGCTCAGGGAAGCCGCCGTCTGCTCCTCATCTGCTGTGTGTCCCACTAAACACTGCAAAGTGCCGTGGGCTTTGAACCAAATTGGTCCCAGAAGGAGCTCTGGCACTTGGCCCCGTGCCCGTGTGACATCAGCCCGGTGTTGTGGCTGTGGTTGGTGCTGACCCCGCTGGGGGAAGGAGGCACCAGAGCCCAAAGTGCAGGTCCAGGGTGGGGCAGGGATCTGCTGCCTTGCTGGGAGCTGGGGGTGCAGGAGCAGGAGATGCTGGAACTGCTGCTGCTCAGGTTCTGCCTGCAGCCCCCATGCTCTATGCACAGGACCATCCTGAGGATCCCACCATGTCCCTGAGAGCGTTTTCCAAATGCTCCTGGAGCTCTGGCAGCCTTGGGGCTGTGACCATTCCCTGGGAWACCTGTTCAGTGCCCACCACCCTCTTGGGGAAGAACCTTTTCCTGATATCCAACCTAATCCTCCCAATGATGCTCAGATGRGCTCAGTCTGGTGTCTTCAAGCTTCAGCCCCAGCCCACCTGGGACTCAGGTCCCCCAGCAGCCACCRTTCCACTC